TATGTTACTAAATGTTTGGGTAACTTTGAGTATATCAGTTTATTTTCATTGTAGTCAAAATGATCTCTCATGTATTCTGAAATTCCAAAATTGTATGATTCTCAAGGCCAGTGATTCTTAGCATATAAGTGTATGACAAATTAACCAAATAAAATTGAAAATATTCAACAACTCACCAGTATACTTTATCTATTTTTTTTAAATATTCCAGCGAGTTTTTGAACTGTTTGTAGTCAGTTCTTTTTGCTTCATATCGAAGTTACTAAAGCATTAAGCTAAAATTACTGAACAGTAATAACATTGAAAGGTATCAGAAGACCCAAATAGTCACAAAAATTTGAAAGATTAAATAGGAAATTAGTTAGGATTATTCCTTCGGGAGGAAAAAAAAAGACAGTGAGAATGAGAGGATTTCATTTCTAAGCATTTCATGATTGAAATAGGAATGACAAGCCGCTTTAGGGGGTGAAAGTAGCAATGTGAAGATAGAAGCAAATGACTGAACTTGTCAGTGGTAAATGAGCATTGTCACTTAAATTGTAGATAGTTGACACAAATACTCTGGGCATACCTTCAGTAGATAGTATTCTGTATATTAAACAGAATGGAAAATGAGTTTTTCAACTTCTCCTAAGAATCAGACTAGAATATAAGCCAGCCTAGTAACGGATTCTGTGTTCGATTTCAAAACTCATTTCTAATGTTGTAGAAGTTGTAAGAATAAATAATCAGTTTTAAACGAAGGGAAAAAATTATTTTTCAGCTAACTGCATTTGTGACTAATACTTGAAATATACATAAAATTTAAATTTTGTTACGCTGTCATAGCTAAAACATGTAAGAACTCATCTAAATGTAAATTATGAAGTTTTTTTGTATTTTATTTTTTATTAAAGTTTAGTTGACTTACAATGGTAGTTTCAGGTGTACAGCAAAGCGATTCAGTTATGCATTTTTTTTTCAGATTCTTTTCCATTATATGTTATTACAAGAAATCGAATATAGTTAGTAGTGCTATACAGTAGGTCCTTGTTGTTCTATATAAAACTATTTTATATATAATAATGTATGTCTGTTAGGAGTTTGGGATTAACTAATCTTTTATTCTTGTTTCTTGATAATACAGTAATGTATTTTGTTTACTTCATTATAGACAAAAGGTTCTCAAACCATGACACCCTCTGGCACTCAGAAAAAAGTGAAGAGAACTCTGCCAAACCCACCTCCTGAGGAGACCGCCACAGGAACTCAGTCAACGTTCAGCACAATGGGCACAGTTTCCCGGAGAAGGATCTGCAGAACCAACACGATGGCGCGAGCCAAGATTCTGCAGGATATTGACAGAGAGCTGGATCTTGTCGAGAGGGAATCTGCAAAGCTTAGAAAGAAACAAGCAGAACTTGATGAGGAAGAAAAGGAGATCGATGCCAAATTACGGTACCTGGAAATGGGGATTAACAGGAGGAAAGAGGCATTATTAAAGGAGAGAGAAAAGAGGGAGAGAGCCTACCTCCAGGGAGTAGCTGAGGACCGTGATTACATGTCCGACAGTGAGGTCAGCAGCAGCAGGCCCACCCGGATAGAAAGTCAGCACGGCATAGAGCGGCCACGAACTGCTCCCCAGACTGAATTCAGCCAGTTTATACCACCACAAACCCAAACAGAATCTCAGCTGGTTCCTCCTACAAGTCCTTATACCCAGTACCAGTACTCTTCCCCCGCTCTTCCGACCCAAGCACCCACCCCATACACCCAACAATCCCATTTTCAGCAACAGACTTTGTACCATCAGGAAGTTTCACCTTATCAGACTCAGCCAACATTCCAAGCTGTGGCCACGATGTCCTTCACACCTCAAGCTCAGCCTACCCCGACCCCACAACCTTCTTATCAGTTACCATCACAGATGATGGTGATACAACCAAAGCCGCGGCAAACCACGTTATATTTGGAGCCCAAGATAACTTCAAACTATGAGGTGATTCGCAACCAACCCCTGATGATAGCACCTGTTTCTAGTGATAATACATATGCCGTTTCGCACCTTGGTAGTAAGTACAATAGCTTAGACTTGAGAATAGGCTTGGAGGAAAGAAGTAGCATGGCGAGCAGTCCAATATCAAGCATATCTGCAGATTCTTTCTATGCAGATATTGACCATCATACTTCACGAAATTATGTCCTCATTGATGACATTGGAGAGATCACCAAAGGAACCACAGCATTAAGCACTGTGTTCAGCCTTCATGAAAAAGATCTGTCAAAAACAGACCGTCTCCTTCGAACCACTGAGACACGTAGATCTCAAGAAGTGACAGATTTCCTAGCCCCTTTGCAGACTTCCTCCAGATTGCATAGCTATGTGAAAGCAGAGGAAGACCCGATGGAGGATCCTTATGAGTTAAAGCTTCTGAAACATCAGATTAAGCAAGAATTCCGTAGAGGGGCCGAGAGCTTAGATCACCTCGCTGGTCTGTCCCATTATTACCATGCTGATACTAGCTATAGGCATTTCCCCAAGTCTGAAAAGTATAGCATTAGTAGACTTACACTTGAAAAACAAGCAGCAAAACAACTACCAGCGGCCATACTTTATCAAAAGCAGTCAAAGCATAAGAAATCACTGATTGACCCAAAAATGTCAAAATTTTCACCTATTCAAGAAAGTAGAGACCTTGAACCTGATTATTCGAGCTATATGACTTCTAGCACTTCATCTATTGGTGGCATCTCTTCCAGGGCAAGGCTTCTTCAAGATGATATCACTTTTGGCCTCAGAAAAAATATAACGGACCAGCAAAAGTTTTTGGGATCATCTCTTGGCACAGGACTGAGCACATTAGGAAGTACCATACGGTCAGCTCTGCAGGATGAAGCAGATAAGCCATACAGCAGTGGGAGCAGATCCAGACCTTCTTCCAGACCTTCCTCTGTCTATGGGCTTGACTTATCATTGAAAAGAGATTCATCCAGCTCTTCTCTAAGACTGAAAGCTCAAGAAGCTGAAGCTCTAGATGTCTCCTTCGGTCATGCATCACCCTCTGGCCGTACTAAGCCTACCAGTTTGCCGATCAGCCAGAGCAGAGGACGGATACCAATTGTGGCCCAGAATTCTGAAGAAGAAAGTCCACTCAGTCCTGTTGGCCAGCCAATGGGAATGGCCAGGGCTGCAGCTGGACCCCTGCCACCAATATCTGCAGACACCCGGGATCAGTTTGGATCAAGTCACTCACTGCCTGAAGTTCAGCAGCACATGAGAGAAGAATCACGGACTCGAGGCTATGATCGTGACATAGCGTTCATCATGGATGACTTCCAACATGCCATGTCAGACAGTGAAGGTAAATTGGGCCTCAAACTCCCTTGTTCCTCTCAAAACTCAAACTCTTATTTTTCTGCATGTTTAATTTTCCTTCTCCAAGGATGTATTCTCCTTTTCTTGGTGCGTCTTTTGCATGTTTACTTCAATTTTATTTCTTGTAAATGGAAATGTTATCTTGTGTATAGATTTCGTAGCATGCTCCTTCTTTCTTTTTAGTTTATTCTTTTATTGTTGTTTCTTGATTGTTTGCTTGATTTGTTTGGTGTCCACTTATTCAATACCATTATCAGATAACTGTGTCAATAAAATATGGTCATCCTTGAAATCCATAGTTGGAAAATTTTTCAATGTATGTTTCATTTATTTTATAAAATGCATTTTTAAAGTTGCTAGTCAGTTTCTTTCAGTTTGTGAAATGATTGAGGTTTAGACCCATTAAGTACTATTCTGCTAGACTTTGTAATAGAAAATTATTTATGTCATTTTGTGAGATCAGTGTTCATTAATTCAGAGAATGTTCTCTTTTTGAGAACTTTCAGTTAAGTCCTTAACGTTAGCATAACGTAGACTTCTATAATTCTCCTTAAATAAAAGGTTTATGTTTTATGTGTCATTATGAGTGTCATAATTGACAAGTTTGTACTTTTTGCATTACATAATAGAACACTTAGCACTAAATATGCTACTGACAATAAATAGCCATACTATCAGTATGTTTATCGGTATCTATGAAGCATTGTTTAGATTTTAAAATCGAAAATTTGTACACTACTTTTGTGAGTTTAGCTATCTGAGCTGAAGCCTTCCTTGTGTTCTCGAGAGAGTTAGCCTCTTCCAAGGTTTTGCTTTTTGCATTATTCCATTCTTTTTGCCCTAAATTGGTTTGCTAGTTTTTCATACTGAGCAAGTGATTTATGGCAAGTACATACTTAACTAAAAACTCTTATATGGTAATTCTTTTGTTTAATCATGTAGAACCATAAGAATTTTAGAAGCTGTCCTAGTCCAAGTCTAAATTTGAAGATGAGGGTGGAGAGGTACAGAGAGCTCATGACTTTGGTTCTTTTTCTTTTCTCCTCTGTGGTTTACATTTGAATGTAGGTATGGTTTGAGTCCTGGAAATAAAATACCTCTTATCAAATAAAAGCATTACTAAAACTTCGTGGCTTTGGAGATTGCAAAACACAAAGCTAACATGAACACCTCTTCTTTTGACTCTAACATTTTCCCTGAGGACTTGCAGGAAAATATGTTTTCATGAAAGAATTTTCTTTGTTTTTGTATCTAGACACCAAAATGGCTTTAGAAGTTCGAATGTAGGTTTGAACAGGACTAACGTAATCACTGAATCTGAAGAAGGAGAAACTGCTTTTTCTAATGAAATTCCAGCAGACTGTAGTCACTTTCTGATTTGTTTGATTCTCAACAGACTATTGGATTGACCATTTTTATTGATGATTAACAAAACACTCGATTTGTGTATTTTTTTAATTTAGCCAATTGTTTGAATCTCTCTACATAGTTAAACAAGAGTTGTGGTATGTGGAAACATTTATTTTTTTCTTTTTTCACAATCCACATTTTACACACATTTTATGTATGTAAAATGACTGCTGCAGGAGAATAAAAAGGCTCTTCAGTAATCATATCTGTAAAGTAGCAAAGTAAAACAAAACTAACAGGTCAGTGGCATAACTTCCTACCTGAAGGCTGTGTGTGCATGATGAACATACATCTGGAGAGAATTTGACAAATTCACTTGTTCATCACAGATGATTTTCCAACATGGTACCAGACATCCAGATGTCTCTAGCTATTCCAAAATGTGGCACTTATTTACATACAATCATATAAAAATAACCAATGCTTTATTTCTCATTTATATGCTTGGATGATGTTTACTCATAGTCATCAAAGACTATGAAAAAGTTACTTTGATAAAGTATTAAAACACATATCAAAAATATTTATCAAAAACAGTTTGGCAAGTATTTGGAAATGTCATCAGCTTAAAAAAGGCATGTTAATCTACAGCAAATTATTTAAGTTGAATGCGACATCGTGCAGCATACGAAATTATGAAATGTGTAAAGATGATACAAAAGAAGTAAACAATTAAAATGAAATTTATACAAAATTAAATTGAACAGAAATGTATTTTTAAATTACTCAGATAAGAAATTTAGTCATAAAAACCATGTTGATACAGGATTAGGCAAAAACTATAACAAATTGAGTTACATATGTAATATTATGTGTGTGAATTGCAGTGATTATCTTTAAAAGATGTATGTTTTAAAACCTTACGTGTTTTCTTTCTGTTTGTATCACATAAACATATTACTTTTCTTCTGGTGAACAATGGTCTGCTTTTCTTTGGAAATCTTGGATTCCATGGGTAATTAAGAGAAAAAGTAGAAAGTATTTTGCCCAGTCACATAACTCATGACATAAACTGATGAAATATTAGGGATTTTTTAAATAAAAATTACCAGGTATATGCTATGTCTGTGTTTGAATGATTCTGAAATAACTTCGAGAAGTAGTACATTCCAAGAAGCTTTTTAGAATCATGTAAACAAAACAAACTTAACTAATTTCATATCTGTTGTCTGCTGTCTCTGAATTCAATTAAATGCTAGGTTATAGATAACAAGATGTTTTCCGGGTGCATTCTATACGACTAGTTAATTTTGAAATATCTCAGTTGAGGTAGAATCTAGGTAGGCATCATATATGTTGCTTAGTATTTATGACTGTCACCTTAAAGCCTGCAGCTTGCTACCCACTCAGAGTTAAGTACAGAGCAGGAATGCCTTCCTCTGGAGAAGACTGGAGAGAAGCTAAGCTAGAAACAGTTAAGGTATATTTATTTCTACAACCGCAAATATTAAACATTGAAAGCATTCTTTCAAAATATACTCCGTGCAAAAAAGCATCAATATATACAGTCTTTAAAAAAAAATCAGCAAATATTTCATACTGAATAGAATTAAAATATTCTTGTAACTGTTGTTGCAGTGAGTAATATGAATAATGCTGGATCCCAAAGTAGCTTACCTGTATTTTACATTTAAGAATTCAAGAAAATGTCAACAGCTTAAAACAGGGGGTTCCTAATCTCCAGCAAATTATTTAAACTAATTTGGAAAATGG